TGCAAACGCCAGTCAACACAATGACTCACAACACACATGCAAAGCCAGAAACACAGGTGTTCTGCAATACTAAGTCAGAACTCTCAAACCTGACTCATTCCCCATAAGCCCAGGTTTCCCCAGTCTGTAAACATAAATAAGAAAGGTCATTTTACCTGTTATTTATGGCAACTCAAGACTCCATTTATCAAGCAAGCTGGGCCTCAGCTTCCTTCCCTGGGAATCCTCCAAGGTGGTGGTGTTTTATGTACTTTTCCAGAGTCAGTTGATCTCGGCTTCCTCTGGTGTAGGCCATCAATCTCTACTCTGTCCACAGGCCACTTAGGCCAACTGCCAATTGCCATTTACTCCTTTAGAATACTGCTGACCCATTTGTGGCAAATGCTGCTATTTTCATTCTGATCTTGGTTGGAGAAGAAAGGAAGAGAGAAAGGCACCCCTCCCTTAGGTATGCAAGAGGTGCTGCCTTACACAGTACAGCTCAGGCTGTCACTGCTGCCAAGCCTTGAGACCAAAAAAGGAGCTTTAACTTTGCTGTTCCGAATGAGTTCTGCTCATCAGCATCTCCTAGAGCCTGACAGTAATTCAGTATTTTAGGTCTCATCCTTGTCCTCCCAAAACATAACCTCAATGCCAACAGGACTCTCAGATCATAGTTATGGATATTGAGATTCAAGAAATATAAGTTCAACATAGAAGGACTTTCGCCTGCATGCCAGGCATCTGCCACTGCATTGCTAGGCCCATTCACTGCCTTTCTCCAACTTGTGTTCTGCTCAACATGCTAACTAACATCTGTTGGACCACACCAACAGGGCTTCCTTTGCCAATCAAGAAAAAACAATAAACAAATGACTCCTTGATGATAGAAGATATTTTGTACTTTACCAAAGTAGTAACCAAAATGTGTGTGCTTGTGTATGTGTTGGTGATGAAATACTTTCCATACACTAGTCACTTGTGATTTGCTAAGCTTCTTTTGAGAAGCATATATTGCAATACTTTCTGGAATGAGAAGCAAGAGAAATAGATGACAGTATGGCCAACACCAAGTACAATAATCTGAAATAGCTACATGTTTTCCTACAAATAAAAATGCCATGTCTATACTGAGAAACCAACATTCCTCATGAAGTAGTTAGCTGAGGCAACAAAACCTGTGGGGTACAAAGTAGAGCCGGTGAGCTTCTGGGTACTGCCTGATCCTTCTTAGGAATGATACTCTAATAAGTGATTTGTTTCCATTCTTCAGCTTGACTATAACTCTAATGGACATTCTCAGTTCCATCTGAAATTACTTAGTCCAACTGATCTAGGCGAAAGGAACGTTTTAGAGTTTTGTATGATGAACACTACCTCTCAGGCAGTGAGTTGGCCCATCCATGTAGTCTACAAGCCAAAAAACCCTTCCTCTTCTTAGCAATGTAATCACATAAGAGATCCCCAGAGAACCTATGCAGATGAGCCCAGAAAAAAAGGGCTGGAGAAGAGTGAGTCTGTCCTTGGCGGTGTAGGGTGTGTCAGCTGACTCTGTGTCTCCTGGGCTTTCACATCTCTAGACCACCTCCTGTGCTTTCAGATTTCATCATTTTTTCCTAATGTCAAGAGTGGCCTTGTCAAACCTATGAGAAGCTCTCAGAAGACAGTGAAAGATTAAAAGAAAGAACTACAATAACTCTGCTCAGGGTATTCGTAAACCAGGTTTGTATTTTTTATATTTTTAAATGAACTCACTTTCTTATGGAAAGAAAATTGGTAAAGCTAAGCACTAAGATAGACAGAAGAACCCACATGTTAGTGAGAAACAGAATTATTTGTGAGAGTCTAGGTGTGGATCTTTCAATGCATATAAGAAAAGCATGTGTTTTTAATGAAATAATTTAGTGATTATAAAGCAAACATTCAAGCCTACCAGTTACAAGACGACTAAAGACCAAAAGAAACACAAAAAAAAGAATAGGAGGAGAAAAAGGAAAAGGAAGAGGAAGAGGAAGCCCCCATAGCCACTGCCATACCTCCAGTGACTGCCAGTGCCCTTCCTCATCCTCATGGAACCTACTTGAGCCACCTGCTCCACATGACTCTGATGAGAGAGAGACACTATTTCCTTGTCTCCACCTCCTGGAGACCTCCCTCTAATCTGTCCAGTCCACAACCCTGTCTCAGATTTCTGTGGCCTACAGACACATAGGAAAACCCATAATCAACAACCTAACTACAGGTGTACAGGTCCCATGACAAAAACAGAAGCAATAAAAAAACAAAACAACATTCCCTTGTCCCAAATCTGCAGTCCATTAGTAATTGTTCCCATGAAGAATAACTTAGACAAATTTCAAGACAAAGAATCCAAAAGAACAGTTATAAACATATTCAAAGAATTCAAAGAAAATGTGAATAAACAGTTAAACTAACCTTAAGAGGTCAGGAATAAACTAATAGAAGTGTAACAAAACACAGATAACTGAAGAAAATGAGGGAGACAAAAAAGGTAGGATATAAAAATGATATAAAAGAGAATTCTATAAAAAAGATAGGATTACCAAAGAACTACACTGAAATGAAGCTGAAAATGAACATTTCAAGTAGTTAAATAAAAAGCTCAGTGGAAAGCCTCAGCAACAAAATGAATCAGGAGAAGTGTAGAACTTCAGGGTCTGAAGACAAAGAAGAAGGAGTAGGCCCTTTAATCAAAGAAAGTGGTTTTTTTAAATGAAAGAACAGAACAAGTAGGATTCTTGGAATAGTATGGAAACACCAAATTTACAAATTTCAAGCTTGGAAGAAGGAAATTCTAAAACAATTCTAAGGTAAAAGAAGAGAAAAGTACTCAACAAACTCATAGATGAAAATTTCCCAAATTATAAGAAAGAAATGTTCACACAGGTATAAAAGGCCTATAGAATACCAAACAGGCAAGACCAGAAAATAAATTCTGCATGACATATTATTATTAAAACGCCAAATATATAAAACAAAGATGGATATTAAAAGCTTCAAGAAAGAAGCACAAAAATCATATATAAAGGCAGACAAATCAAGATGACAGCTGTTAATAAATTTTAAAGCTGGAAAGACTTGGGAAGATGTACTCTAAGGTCTGAAAAAGCACAACTGCCAACTCAGAATCTTATACCCAGCAAAACTATCTTTTACACATGAAGACTAAGTGAAAGATTTTCATAATAATAGAATAAAGTAAAGGAATTAATGGCCGCTAAGCCAACTCTAAAGGATAATGCTTTGGATGGAAGAGAAACATAAATTCACCCAAGTGAAAAAATAAGCAACACTAGAAGAATTAGTCAAAAGACACCTAAGAAAATGCCACAACATCAACAAAACCCAGAATTAATGCACATCTTTCAATAGTAACTCTGAATATTAAAGCTTTCAAATCTTAGCAAAAATACACAAACCATCAGATTGGATTATAAAGCAAGTTACATCTATTTGCTGCTTCCAAGAAACACATATGACTGTCAGAGAGAGACTCCACCTTAGGACAAAAGAATGGAAAAGGGTATTCCAGGCAAATCATAGTAAGAAGCAAGCAGGAGTAGCAATTCTAATATTCGACTAATAGAGTTCAAATCTAAACTACCCAGAATAGATAAAGGTCATTTCATACTCATTAAGGAGACAATATATAAGAGGATATTAAAATTTTAAGAATACACACAATGAACACAGGTAAACTAATAATACAAATACTACTAGATGTAAAGCCACAGATTAACCCCAACACAGTAATAGTGGGAGACTTTAACACCCTGCTCTCACCTCTAGACTGCTCATCCAAGAAAAATTAAAAAGGTAAGCCAAATGGCCCTAACAGACATCTACAGAACACTACACCCAAACACTAAAGAACACACATACTTCTCAGCAGCTCATGGAACTGTCTCCAAAATAGATCAGACATTAAGACATAGAATTGAGTTAATTAATTAATTTAAAAAATAGATTTGCTAGGGATTATCTGTGGGATATATAGGAAACATGTTACTAGACATTTTTCTAGGTAGACAGATATGACCATGGAAATAATAGGCAATGAACTTAGGGCAGAGTTTCCCCAAAACTCTCTAAAGTACAATTCCTTAAGCTTTAATTTTAAAAAAAGCAAAAACAAGATAATAAAATATTTGAGCCCACTGCAAACTTTGAATTCCCATCTAACTGAAGAAATGCTTGCAGAGGAAGTTGCATTGAATGCAAAAATGAGGGAAGTATGAGCTATACTGTAAAGGGGGAACATAGAACTTAAGACAGGACCAATGGGAAATGCTTAGCCTTGGAGAATTAGATTGTATAAAGCCATGTGAAAGAATGAAGATGGTAAACCTAGAGTGTGTCTAAGGAGCAGGGACACACTGGTTGGAAGGGTCAACAGGGCCCAGATGATGGATAGTCTCAAGTGACAGGCAGAGAACTAAGAGCTTGATTCTGTATGTATTTTTGATAAAAACAAATAAATCTCCAACTTAAAAAAAGAAGAATGGATTAATTTAGGTCATAGTACCATGTCTAGAAAAATATCAAGTATATTTTAATGTCTTGATACTAGTCTTACATGGTTTTCTTTTTATATTATGTCATTTACCCCTTCCTCTCTTCTCTCTGACCCCTCCTTTCTTCCCCCTCCCTTTCAAATTCATGGCCATATAGTTTGTAATTATCACTGTTACATATATGCAAATAAGTATATACATGCAAAAAATAAAAGAATGAAGATGGTTTAATCAGGCAGTATCAGTGGAAGTGAGGATGCAGGGCTGGGCATAGCTCAATGGTAGAGCATCTGGAGGTATATAGAAAGGCCAGGTTCAGGTCAAATTGCCTTTTCAATAATTACCTTTGTGTCAGTGCATTAGTGCTTTTTCCAGCTTGGGTCACAGAAGCATTTTGCCAGAAGCTGTCGTAACTGCAGAGACTCATAGCTGATCAAACTGCAGAGAATAAGTGATTGCCGAACGCTCCGTCATAAATGAGACATCTACATCGTCACCCCTCCAAAGCTCAAGGAACATCATAGAAGAGGGAGATGAAAGAACAAAGAGCTGGAGGAGAAAGGACAGAGTGCCGCGGAATGCTGTCTTCCGGGAATAGCACGGGCTTTGTACTGAGAACTCACAGCAGCTGTGAATACCTGCTTAAGACGGGCACAAGGTCAGACCTGCCAGCACCCGTCATGGAGGAAGAGGGGCTCATGAAACCCCAGGCTTCCCCGAGAATCTAGAAGCAGTTCAGTGAACGGCGGCGGGGAAAGAAAGTAAGTTTCCTTCAGCGATATAGACACCCACATGCTTTCGTTCCTACAAATAACCCTTCACCCATGTGCACCTATAGGTAACCACAGTGAATCTCATTGGCTTACCAAAAAAAGACCCAATAGAAAGTAGAAGGGGGACTGGTTGAGAAAAAACAGGAGGGGGTCAACAGAAGTGGGTAGGGACTAAGACAGAGAACAGGAGTGACTATTAGCAAAATGCATGTACGAGGAGGGCACAATGGAACACATTACTATGTATAATTAATATATGTTAATAAAACCAGAATGAATGCAAAATTAATTTTAAACATAGAAAATAATGGGTTCAATATCAGAAAAAGATGGGGAGAAGGACCCGAGGAGGAGACTTCAACACAGGCAAGGAAGGGTGCCTGGTTTGGGTTTAAGTTGTTCCCTCATTCATGTAGGATAGTGCTGGCAAGTAGTGTGAACTTTTAAGAGGAGCTTGCCTTGAGGTCACTGAGGATGCTGCCTTTTCTAAGGAAGCAAGACTAGTGGAGGCTGTTGTCAGAGAGCAAGCCTTGCTCTCCCATTTCCTGTCTCCGGATGTTACCTCTCCCACTCATGTGGGCTCCCAGCACCAGGCCCTCTGACGGTCTGATGTTGGGTCTTCACCAGACAAGGAGCACAGAGCAGAGGGACTCAAGGATTCAAGCATAACTAAAGTCTCAACTATTTCTCACTGGTTGTAACTTATACAGAGACAGCAGTTTTAAAAGTCTGCTAAAGTTAATTATCTTCCTTCCTCCCTACTAAATTTATAACTCAATCAGGAAAACAACTATAATTTTAAAATTAATAAATGAATAATTTTAAAGCTCTTAACCAGAACATGTTGTCCAAGCATGAGGACCTGTGTGTAGTACCCAAAACCACTCTGAAAACCAGGTATGATGTGGTGTTGCACATCCCAATGCTGCGGAGGTAGAGACAGGAGGATGGAGGATGCCTGGGTATCAGTGGTCAGATGTCTTAGCCGCCCTGGTTAGTGCTAGAACAATGAGAGCACCCTCCTCAGAAAAAAAAAAAAGGTGAGAGCTTGGAATGTAGCTAAGCAGTCAAGTGTGTTGCCTAGCATGTGTGAGTCCCGAAATTCCACTCCCAACACGATAAGCTAAAAAGAAGGGTGGAGCCAGCAGCTGGTCATTGAGTTAAGACACCTGCCGCCTAAGCCTGACAACAAAGTTAGAGTGTGGCCCCAGAACCCACGTGGTAGAAGGAGAGATTCCTGAAGGTTGTCGCCTGGCCTCCACATGTTCATCGTGGGATGCATGTCTACCTCTGTGCATGCAGAATACAAATAAGCGAATAAACATATAGATGTAAACAATTTTAAGGAATGAGCAGACCCTGAGGAATAAGACATCAAGTTGTCCATTGCCTTCCGTAAGCACGCGCGTGCGCGCGCATGCACACACACACACACACACACGTCTCAACCAGTTTCTTAGCCACTATTTCTTTCCAGCACCTAATACATTAATTTAAATGAATCTTGTAGGCCACACACACCCTCACAAAGGCCCAAAGCACAACCTGGACCAACACCCATGGAAACTGCGGAGGCACTGGGTTATAGTCTGTGTGCTTTGTGGAAATCACATGGCTCTGCTGCAGCCCACCTGATACATAATTTGACAACAGCATAGGAAAATGTGGGGCTGTTGATTATGGAAAACTGAGCCCAAAAGGAAACCCTAGGAGAAATGAAAGTGAGATTATAATAAACTATATGGTGGATTCACTTTTAGTGACTGCGGCATATACTTGGGAGCCTGGAGGTGCGGGCAGGAAATAGGCAATCCTGTTGCTTCAGAGTGGCAAGCTTTGCTAATAAAGAGATTATAAAGAACTTTCTGGGACTGAGGAGATGGCACAGTTGGTAAAGTGATTGTTAAGCAAGTATGAGGAGCCAAGTTTTGTCCCTGAACCCACGTAGAAAGCAGGGCGTGGCTGCACACACTTGTGATCCCAGTGCTGGGAAGGCAGAGACAGGAGAATCCCTGGGACTTGCTGGTCAGTCAGCATAACTAAAGCCCCAAGTCCCACTGAGCAGCCCTGTCTCCAAAAACACAGTGGCTAACTACTGGGGAACAGGTTTGGCCTCTGGTACATGTACACACACACACACACACACACACACACACACACACACACACTTAAAAAATCTCTTCTAACTTAAAGCAGATAAACTTACAGCCTTCACTTTACCTAGTGGAGCTGTTTCCCCTTCTCAGAGGCTCTCATGTTCCTCCTCCTTCTCACTGTGGCATTTGGACACAATACTAAGTGGGGCTCTGGTCACAGGGCTTTCCTCCGCATCAGCTGGGGATAGCGTGGATGGCTTCACACTGATCCTGTCTGGGATGCACAGAGCTGCGCTGCACCCTGTCCTGCTGTGTGCCAGATCCTGCGAATACTTTTGGTTATAATTCTTCAGTGAGGCTTCGTTCTGATTCCCGGAGTTAGTTTCAGAACCCAGAACTGAAAACACCACTTCCAGCAATCCTGCCCTCAATTCGCATGATGCCAGGCCCAATTCAGGGATCCTTGGGTCTTGACAATTTTCACCAACTCGTTGCTATGAACAGAAGCAGTCTACAGAACTCTCAAAGGCACATAATTATAACTGATATTCTTTTATAAAGGATATCAATTAGAACAAATCAAACAGAAAGTTACATAAAGAGATGTCTGGGAGGGTCCCAGAGATCTGTGCATTGTCCCCAGGGTATCATCAGATGTGTCACCCTCCCAGGAAACCAGTGTGTCACCTGGAAGCTACCCAGCGCTTCAGTGCCCATAGTTTGCACTGGGGGTTAGTGTGAAGACATGACTAATGGAACTGATCTCAACCTGCCCACTTTCTTCTTCTGTCCCCAAGAGGTTCAGAAGGTGGGATGATATGCAGTTAAAAGCCCTATCCTCTAATCTCATGTATAGTATTGGTATGGCCTGGCTTGGTCTTGAGTCATTTTATTACTGATCAGGGACCACCATGAATAACAAATATCCCTATCCCTCAGGAAATTCCAATGGCTTAGTAGCTCTCTCTCCCTGGATGCAGAGAAAGACCAGACAAATTCTTTGGCTTAGAGGTTCCTTCCCTGAACCAGGGAGAAAGACCAGACACATTCTTTCTTATACCATAGGCATGTACCCACTATTGAAGCCTGGTCCATGGATTTCTAGGCTAGATCTTCAGAAAGCCATTTCCCTGGTTCGCATGGAACTTCTCTACCAGCTAAGGGTATGAAATTCATTGTTGCTGCTCTGAAGTGATTTTACTGTACTCAAGACTCCCCACAGCTCTATTCAAGCACTTCCCACAATGTTAAATGAAAACGGATAAGCAAAAAGGATGTAGTCAGTTAGAAATGGCTAACTACAAAATACTAATGTTTATAGAATCTTCAAAGGATAAAGAAGACCATTAAAAGCAAACTGCCATGTGGGTTTTATATGGAGAAGAAAAGTGCATGAAATCAATAACCAAAGACTTAGAAATATAGAAAAGGAAAGTGTAGTATTGTAACTTCTTACATAAAAGGTTATAGCACTATTTTTATAGGCCATAGTGAGTTAAGGATGTATGTTATCAATCATAGGGAAGTTAGTTATTATGGGTTTTGACATGCGAAGCAATGATTCTCAGGATGTGGGTAGGACCTTGGTTCAGGCTGTTACCAAAACATCATGAAATAGATCCTTACAAACAGCAGAAATGTATTCCTTGTGGTTCTGAATACTTCAGGTCTGAGACTAGTGGGTCAGCACAGTTGAGTTCTGGTGAGGGTTGCCCATCACTTGGTCTTCTTGTTATATCCCCACAGGGTAGAAAGAGAAGGAGAGCTCTTTTGGGGGTGTTTTTTATAAGTCTGCTGGTCCTGGGGCTGCTGAGATGGCTCAGCAGCTAAGAGCCTGATCTTCCAGAGGACCTGGGTTCCATTCCTAGCACCTACGTGGTAGCACAGCACTGTCTGTAACTCAAGTTTCAGGGGATCCAGCTCCCTCTTCTGGCCTCTGAGGGCATCAGGCAAGCGAGTGAATCACAGACATACCATACCAGCAAAGTGCCCATTTACATATAATTCAAATGTAAAATTTTCAACAAGAACACTGATTCCATTCATGAGTATTCTGTCCTTTTCACCTAATTACCTCCCAAAGACCCCATCTCTCAACAGCATCACTTGTGGGTTAGGACTTAAAAGAGGGCCAAGAATAATATAACCAGGGATACAGTTTCAGATGGGCATATTTAAAATTATGAATGAGGCCAAGAGCAAAATGTATTCAGCTGCCCTGAGACATAAGACCCAATACACCCTCATACTGTAAGAGCACATGGGAAAAACCAGCCAGGTTTTGATGCCAAACAAAGCATTAACGGATGAGCTGATACTATCATGGTGCCTACCTCTTTGCCAGGCTCAAAGTCTGAATGCAATTATCCCTTGAGTAGTCTCAGCCTATCCAGATTTTGCTGCACAATTTAGACATTGCTTGAGCTCACACAATCTTAGTTTATGTCTCAAGAATTCATCTGTTGGTTTTAGTTTGGCTTCCAAACACACATATCCCCATAGACACTGCATTATACATTATGGCTAAATCCTCAAAACTGCCCACAAAAGGCTCTTTAAGTTATTATGTTTGAAATATGTACTAAAATAGTACCATATCAACTATGCTAGCCATCACTTATATAAGCCCATGGAGGGAGAGAGAGAGAGACAGAGGGACACAGAGAGAAACAGAGAGACAGAGGCATCCCGTTTTGCAATTGGAGATATCAGAATTGCCTTGAAGAGGAGGGAATTGAGGGGAAAAGGCATGGGGGGGATGCCTGGGAATTCTTCACAATCTGGGTGTCAGAAGCACCCAAAGTGGACATCTGTTGCCCATCATCCATTCACTCCATCTGGAAACAATACTTTGATTTCACATTGGGGAACTAACTGCCTCCTTTCTCAGTG